AGCTGGTCAAAAGGAATCCGCCGTCGTCTTCTGGTAGAACCGACCTTCGAATCTCTTCACCCAACACTTTAAAAAAAAATAGACTCATCAACATAACCAGACGTGTGTCCAACCTTGCGCAATCGAAGTGTTGGTTATAACGTGTATATAGAAAGGGGGAGATAGGGGTCATCAAACCTTGATGGCCAAAAACAGACGTTCCTTTTGGTTGTCCTAATTACTTTGAGCCATCACTAAGGGTTTCGTGCATAAGCGGACACAAATAGGCACATACACATACAGAGACAGACACACTCACATACATCGAAGTTGACATATGACCTTAACTAACCAAATCACTTTATACTTCATCAAGATGTAGAGTATATATACCACTTTTTAGGGATTTGTCGATGAGTTTTTTTGACTCGTTGGCTTTATTTTTGTTGTGATGATGATACCTTGCTCTGATGATGTTTTTTCATATGACGGACGAAAGCTTAGCACCTTTTCACAAGAATCGAAGGAGATTACCTCCAAAATCGCGTCAGCATGAATCTTCCAGTAAAGCCAATCGACAGCTGGTCAAGATTAATCCGCCGTTGTCTTCCGGTGGAACCGACCTTCGAATCTCTTCACTCAACATTTTCATTTGAAATGGAAGTAAGCTCAACACTTATGAAACAAGAGATTCCTCGAAACCCAACTTTTCTTCGAATTATTAAATTTCGTTTCAGCAGTTTTTTTTATCTTTTCCGAAAGCTTGCAGCATGGTAGCTTCACGAACTTGGATGAAGAGTTGTCTAACTCCTTGTTTTACCCTAAATAGTTCTTTCCCCTCATCCTATTTCTTAATATTGTGACATTATAGAGAATTAACCCTAGTGCATAATTGTTCTAAACTCACTTCAGAAATTATTTTAGACTCCCTTTACCACCTTGCAAGATTGCAAAGTAGTCCTACATATATCTGGCCAATAGCTTGTGAACTATTGTTGATGGCTTCTGGTTTTGACAAAGCCTATTACATGACAGGCGAAAGTTCAGCATCTGTATCGCAGACCTATGAGTACAAATCTTCTTCGCACAATGTAGCAGTAACTAATCGAAGGCAATCAATCTCTTTCGGTGTCAGGTTAGGTAATTTACAAATTACTTCCACTTGCTCTATCAAGCGAAATGAAAAATTATATCAGTATCAATATATGAAAGGAATCTTCCAGCCTTAGATTCTCATTTTTTGAATCTATTGCGATAGAATTTTCTTCTCTTTCTATAGGGAATTATTAGACAGCAATGAATTATACTAGAGTCCTGATATATCTAAGTCTTTCTATCAAAAGCTAGTCGATACTTTTTTTCAGCGCAAAGCAGCTGCTTATTTTCTAGTGGGTTTACCTCGTTTTCTCAACTTAGTCTTGTTTTCGGTTATCATAATTCCTACCTTCAGACTGTGGACTTGGTACATTTTCAGACGTTTCCCGGCATCATGGTTGGTATCAACCGTGAGTTGCCATTCTCAGCACCAAGCTAGGACGCGTCAGTGACAAGTCCCCCTGACAAGACCAAGTTGCAACAACGAGGTCAACCCACTTCTATAAATCGAAAGGAGGCTGCAACCATAACAGAGGCCACAACATCTTGGTCTTCATATATTCGTATAACTTAAATTTACGATCAGAACGAAGAACTAACACAGTTTACTAGGACCGGTCCTCTAAATTTGGAATACATAACGCTATGATATAAATATTCCTATTAATAGTCTACAATTATTGTTAATATAAGGTATGAAGACTAAGATAGTGTGGTCTTTTGTGTGATCGCAGTCTCCTTTCGTTGTATAGAGGTTGTTTGACCTTGTTTTTGCAACTTGGTCATATTCGTAGGAAGACTTAGGGGGACGCATCTAGTTTGGAGTCCACTGTATGTTTGATCATTTCCAGTGTCGGACCGTGGACGTGGTACATTCCCAGACGTTTCGCCTGTATCCTAGTCTGCATCATCAGTGAGCATTGCCATTCTTAGCACCGCACTACAACTCGCCGATCCTTTGACCAATTGTCTGCTTAACAATCGTGGTATCTTTCTTTCCCTTCTGGGCTAATCACCAATCAAAACAAATAGAACCACAACATTTGTGGGTTGGCACACAATAGAATAAGATACAGGAAGTGATAGACTTGGTATTACGGATGGAAACAAGATAGACGCGGTGGAAACTAGAGCACTTTGGCTAAAAATAGACGTGTTTGATCATAGACGCGATGCATGATCAACATTCCCAGCACAAGAGTGAAGAGGGGTGTGAGAAGGTGGGAAAGCCTGTGTGGAATGTGTAGCGTTCTCATGAAAGCCACTCAAAAGGGAACACCATATCACATTTAAATATGCAAGTAAAAATTGTGGGATTGAAGGCATGATACGAGGACCTAGGATTGGTGATTAGCCCAGGGGGTAAGGAGAGATACCACGATTGTTTAGCAGACAATTGGTCAAAGAATCGGCTTCACTTGCCTTTTGACGAGTTTTGTTTTGCTAAGTGACAAGACTGACGGACGATGCCGGCCAAACGTCTGGGAATGTACCACATCCACGTTTCGACTCTGAAAATTATCACGCATACAAAGGACTCCAGACTAATTGCGTTCCTCTAAGACTTCCTAACAATATGAACAAGTTGCGAAAACAAGGTAAAAATCTCCTACTCTTAATATACTCGGTTGGGGTTTAGCAATGTAAAATACTATTAAATTAAATGTTATTACTGAATTGTTATTAGTAGATGTCTTTAATAAGTGAATGGGCTCGCTCGATAGAGACTGAAATTCAATGTGACTATAGCTATACTCCAGCGACTTTTGGTTTACTCTTTATACATTCAAACTTTAAATGAATATTTAATACCTATTAATTATCTATACATCTTTCTCCATATTTAATGTGTTACAAATATATAATTATTTATTTAAATCCGCCATTTCACTGAAGCACTTTTTAATGTTACATTTTTCTTTACAATCTCCCCCGATCCAAGCTCAGTATAGCAACAGCAAACTTTCATCTAGTGTACATTTTGCAATAGTTTTTTCTTTTATATTATATATATATATATATATATATAATAAATTGGAATCCTAATTTTATTTCCTAAATGCTCTTGCTAGTCAGGTTAATAATGGCTACATCTTTGAATTATTCATTTCAAAAGTCTATTTCCAACTAGTCGGTGTAGTTGTCAGCAAAAGCATTGAACTATAGATGCTGGCGTTAAGTGAAGCTTCCATACCTTCATTGTCACAAGTTTAATATAAAATAGAGATAATTATTTAGCATAACTTCACCATGCTTGAATTATGCAGTTTGCACAATCACTTGCCAACAAAAGATTAGAGCAAGTCTAATCTTTTATGAAACTTTCATATATGTCCATGACTATTTTATACAAAACCTTGAGTAATTCAGGGATGCAGACATTAACCTCAAAAACGAAGATCACTGTTCTTATTCTGTTCGAACATACTGACGACAAATGACTTTTACCAACAGCGTATAGCCAAACGACCAAACCAATAGCAAATGTCTCTATAGAAACCAATAATTGATAGTTACATCTTAGCATTAAAGTTTCATCTTAATTTATTTCCTGTTGTTATGATTTCACATTAGCATCACGTCATCACTGCCACATCGGCATTGCTCGCCGCATTGTCCTGTCACAAATGTGCTCACTAGTGGTACTACCTCAGGTGGAGGTGCTCCCGTGATTTCGAGGCGTCGTTCTCGGGGAAGACAGTCTAGAACCAGACGACAGTGTCGTGATCCAGACATCACACATGCTGCCGACTCCTCAACAACATCCATAAATCGGCGAAACAGGCCTGAGCGTAGTCGAAGCCTTCATGGCACACGAAGACGTGAAAGCCGAGATAGTCGAGGCAGAAATCGAAACATCTCCTCATTACGTCAAGTAGGTGAAAATTCTGCTAACAAGTCTGGTGGTGTAACTCGAGTCCATGGTTCAGAAGCGTCACGGCCAAGAAGTCGTGGGAAACTGAGCTCACGACCAGCCCGCTTGCCGAAAAAAACGAATGGAAGTGTTTCAGAGACTGGACCCAGCAGTAATACCAGATCAACGAAAAAGGCTAGATGTCAAGATGCCCGGCAAAAGAGCCCTCCTAGCAAAGGTTCGTATAAATATTGTTCGCATTAAAGTATTGTTTCGAGATATAAATATTACTCATGCCTTTTACAAAGTT